GTGCTGCCCAATAAGAGAGAAGTGCTTGGGAACCTGCACAGCTGCATTGGTAGTCATATACTTAAATATATAATATCAATAGCAGAAAAACCAAAGATATGAAACTTTATATTAAAAGTTTCTCTTATGTTCTATGTAGGCAATGCACTGATGGATCTCGGGAATATGGACAAGGCTCTACATCAACACGAGAAGGATCTGGAGCTGGCCAAGAAAGGGTAGGCGACCATGAGAAGTAGGAAAGCTACCTTTCTGAATTTCTTGGTTGGCTAATAAACTACCAATTCATCCGGTGTGTTTGGTCTGTGCTTCGTTTCATAGCGACCTGATGGACAGTAAATCCAGGGCTCTGGACAACATTGGCCGTGTGTACGCACGGATCGGCAAGTTTCAACAAGCTATAGAAGTGTAAGTGCATTTGCTTTTAATTAATGTTGGCTTTGGTGTTGATGTACACAGAAAAATCTATTGTAATAGTCATTTGATTTTGTTCCGTGTGTGTTTGCGTAGATGGGAGGAGAAGTTGCCTCTAGCATGTGGTGGGTTAGAAAAAGCCTGGTTGTTCCATGAGATCGGCCGATGTTACCTAGAGCTGAAACTCTACAGGGAAGCACGAGACTATGGCTCCCGCTCGCTCATGGCTGCAGATGAAATCAGCGATGAAAAATGGCAGCTCAATGCCAGTGTGCTCATGGCGCAGGCAGAATGTGAGTCCAAACTACATTGCCCAGGAAGCTTAATAGACTCTCTGACCATGAATAATCAAATTTCCCACATTGCTTTGAATCAATAGGAGTTAATGTGGTCGTTATGTATATTTGATCCATGCCACGCCGTACAATTAGATAATTTTACATCCTCTTTCTCTCTGACACAGTGAAGCTGGGTAACTACAAGGCCTGTGTGTCACACTTTGAGAGGGCACTGGACCGGGCAAAACTGTTGCAGGATGACTCTGCCAGCGAAGCCATCCAGAAGGTCAACACAGACATTCCTATCCTGCTCTCTCACTCTCTCCCTCATCCCTCTCACCATCCATCTCGCCTGTGGCCTTTTCTATAGTCCCATTCAAACTACACTAAAATTCTAAATCATGCAGGATGCGCATTATGGTTTATATCACAGATGATCACAATTGTTGTTTGTTTGACTAAAGGTATACCCATATGTACTATTGTTCTGCAAATATTTATCCAGTCATTTCAATAGGAATACACGCAACCAGAAATTTTGCATAAGGGTGCTTTACACTATACACACTGTTTTAAAGTATCTTTACAGAAATTCATGGTGCTGATGTTTATAATACCTTAATATCGTAATTCCTTATTGTCACATTTAGCAGATTAAAGCTGAGCGAAAATATAGTTTACATTTTGGGCCAATGCAAGCAATCAAGCAGTTGAGATATGCTATTTAGTAAATATCGCTCTACACAAGTATACTGTATGTATGCTGATGAAGTTTGAAATATTTATATTTCCAATTTTATATAAAGAGCTGGACGAAAATATAGTTGCAGTTGTTATTTGCTCTATAGTATATATCGCATTACGTGAGTGTACTTGCATACACAAATAAAGTTGGATATAATATATATATATATGTGCAGCAGCAGTATTTCTTGCATGCTCACAGCAGCATGGTTGTGGATGTATTGGCAGTAGCAAGTCTCGGTACTTCTGCCGCAGCAGCAGCAGCGTAGCAGATCTATTCCATCAAGACCAAATACATTAACATTGTCATGTACATTACCATGCCAAAGCCTCCGAGAGTTGTCATGACAGAACTGTTATTTTGTAACAAAACCTGAACTTCCATAAGCAGAGCAATTAGTTACTAAATATTTGTAAATAGTAGTTGTTTTGTCATAATATGTGACCCTGGAGCACAAAACCAGTCTTAAGTCGCTGGGGTATATTTGTAGCAATAGCCAAAAATACATTGTATGGGTCAAAATTATTGATTTTTCTTTTATGCCAAAAACCAATTGGATATTAAGTAAAGATCATGTTCCATGAAGATATTTTGTAAATTTCCTACTGTAAATATATTAAAACTTTTTGATTAGTAATATGCATTGCTAAGAACTTCATTTGGACAACTTTAAAGACGATTTTCTCAATATTTTGATTTTTTTTGCACCATCAGATTCCAGATTTTCAAATAGTTGTATCTCGGCCAAATATTGTCCTATCCTAACAAACTTATCCTTATTTGTTCAGCTTTCAGATGATGTATAAATCTCAATTTCGATTGTTTTTTCTCGGTTTTGTGGTCCAGGGTCACATATGAACAGATAATTGTAATATTTACATGCATTCATTGATCAGTTTTCTCGTATGTTATCTGATTCTAGACCATCCCATTCTTCTGATATTATATTTCTTCATGATGCTCTGATATTATTTGTTTTACTTTAATCAATTTCTCACCCTGCAGGCTCTTCGTGAAGCAAGACACAGAGTGACTCAGTAAAATGAGAAACCCCTCTGAATAAAATGGCTGCAATCAACTTCCATCTACCTACAAGACAAGTCAGAACTAATGCATCCCTACTAGTGGAATAAAGTTTGCCTGAGGAACTTTGTGCTGGATTGCAGTCAGTGTTATTGGTGAAGAATTACTTTATGACTGCCTTTTCTGTGCTTGTTTCCATATGGGTAAAATGATGTTTTGCATAGTTTTACATAAACTGTCACAGTTTCAGAGGTATAACAAATCGTGTTATATTTGTGATGCAGTGTCCAAGTGATGTTGCCCAGATACTGTTAATGTTTTCCAATAGACCCACACATGCTGTGACCTTCTGTTGACATAGAGAAATACTCTTTTAATTCATAATCCAACCATAAAGGTTTGAATTGAAAATCATTAAAATGAGTTTTGACCTCTAATTTTACACTCCACCTATTGAGTCGAAATTGACTTTATGTGCTCAACAAAACTGAACAGAAGTATAAGCCCTGTCAGAATGCTTAACTACGCATTACTGGCAGTTTGTGTGTGAGAGTATTTTTACAACCACAAATACTTGTGAGAAAGCGGTCACAGCCAACCTGCGTTTGTTCTGAACTCCACTGTGATAAGCTGAAGCAGCGATTCTTAACTGCAGAACCTGTCAGTGCAATGTCAGAAAGCATAACCACTCAGAAATCCTGCATACATTTCACACGTCCCTCACGGATATCAACAAGACACAGCATGCACACTCCAGCTGTTTTCAATTTTGCAGGTATGCTCCTGTATAACTGGCCTGTAAACATGCATTCAAAGAGCATGTGGTGCCTGCAGATCCTTTTTTTTATTCTTTACGAACTTCATTTTAAAACACAAACAATGGAATTGAATACTTTGATCATTTTGATAGGCATGTATTCATTATAATATATTCTGACAATCATGATTACAAGGACCGTACTGAGTGCTGGAAATCAAGTCCATACTTGTGTGAGGCATGAAAAGCTTGAGAAATTTGTTTGCCTTATCCAAAGATTGTTGCAATATATATTTTATGCAGTAGATACTATCAAACCTGTAGGTGTAGACAAGTATTCCTTTAATGGCCTACTGCAAATCTGTTCTTAATCGGTGACGGTGTATGAAAATGGAAACAGTTTGTGATGTTTGCTCTAAAAGTAGGCCTTTAAACAATGATTTTTCGTGGGACAATTATTTTACAAGAATGTTCTGAGAAGTTTATTAAATATAAATGGTAATTTTGGGGAGCGCAATCAAAGGTTCACAAAATATATATATATATATATAGAAAGGTTGGGGGTCAATAAAGGATATATATACTTTATTGACCCCAACCTTTCTTGTGTTTCCATTTATATTATGGCCCCCAGTGTTGGGGACTGGAGTAACTAGTTACATGTAACAGATTAACAGAATTACGTAATTTAATTACAACATAAATGAAACTGTAATCAGTTACTGAGAATTTTTTTTTTAATTAAATTACAGTTACTTATGAAAATGTTAAAGATTACAAAGGGGGTTACATCTGAATAATTTCACACTCATACAGAATAATTTAATTTCTTTCCCAAATTGCAATGACTGCTCTAAAATATGAGACACCAATGTTTCAGGAGTTTAGGACACATGCTTATTCGATAACTGTTTTATTTTATAAAACATTTTTATTTATTTGGGTTTATGTATATACTTTATTTTTTAAGAATTAAATTAAGTTTTTTTTTTAAGAATTAAACTGTTTTTTCCCAAGGCGTTGTTAGATGCCATTGTTTCCTATAGCTATGCAAAGATTTGATTTCCAGAACAGTATCATAGCTATTAAACTATTTCTTATTATTTTAAATCTGTATTTAACCTCAGAATGATCTCAACGTAAAAAGAGGTGCTAAAGTCTGATTTTGTGGTGGCTGTGCTAATCATAAAATTAAATGATTATAATCTTATTTCAAGTGAAGGATTTTGAAAGTCTGACAGTAATCAGTGTTGAACACTACTGTAAGGTTAACCCTGCCTTAAATGTTTTAAAATAATTTTTCAAATAAAATTTTTGGAAAGGTAATCAAATAGTAATCAAATGTAATTAGTTACATTACTTAAATAACTGAAATAGTAACACTACTTATTACATTTTAGATAGGGTAACTTGTAATCTGTAACCTATTACATTTCCAAAGTAGCCTTCCCAACACTGATGACCCCCAACCTATTCGCACCATCTGCTAACATTAGGGATGTACAATGATAGTCATTGTCATTAGCCATTGTTAAGAAATGAAAGTTAAGACTGAACTGTACTGAGTAATTCAACCACGTGATAATCGAGACATAAAGATGAGCAGTATGCTGCACAAAACAACCCGCTGCTGACGGGAGCGCGCTCAAAATGTGCCTCTGTTCAGTTTTTTATCTGCCTCTCCCTTCCGCGTCCGCACTCGCGCGCACAGGAGCGTGCTCAAGTGCCAGTGGTTTCCGTTTTGTTTCCTGATTATTGCTAATGCTCGGCCAGGCGGGGGGTTTTGCGTAGCGCTCTGGAGAAACGTGCAATTTGGCTGTACGGCGCTTTGAACCTTCAGCCTCGGAAAACGGCGACAGCTTTTCACACATCTGCCAACGTTGTAATCAAGTGAGTTGCATTTACGCTGATCACTGACTGTTACTTTGTAATCTTGTAGAACGTATTTGGAACCAGTGAGTTTGATTACGCATATCTAACTTTAAGCGAAAACAAAGATTTTAGATGCAACAAAAATGGTGCTTCTGGCATGTGCTTCCTTTACCAGCAGCGCCAGGCATTGCCACGCTGATTTGTTTTGTCTGCATGCAGCGTGGCTGGGCACTGCCACTCCCCAATCCATGGCTTTGCATTGTTACCGCTAATTAACTGAGCTCGCTCATTTGGTCGTATTCATTTACGAGTCTCTGTAGATTTAGACATTCACTGAATTAAGTGTAGCCTGCGTTTCTTTTACATCTACGCACAATTTTTCCACCAAGTTGTCTAAATTCGTGTGCGCAACGTCGTTAAATCATGTAACGTTACTGTTATGTGCGTGTGACCTCTGCTTGATGTGTCGCTACCGTCTGAGTGAATCTACAGGGCGGTTTGGGTTTTCTTTGTCTTCCATAGATCAGGTGGCGTGTCCGAATCTAGTTTGGTCACACAAAGGCTGCGTATCAAAATCCAGTGAGCTGCCTACCTAGACAGCAATTGGGCATCAGACACGCTGAACTGACTCATGCTTCCGAGAAATGCTGCCTAAGCAGGCAGCACACTTGATATTAGACACAGCCACAAAAAAAGTGGCCTAATGATGTGCAGGTGTTGGTGTCTCACTCACCGCTGGGCTCCTGTAAAACAGGGGCCTGCTTCTGCTTTTCACACACTTTCATCAGAACCTGGGCCGTGTCCAGGGTGAAATTAAAGCTAGTTCGTGTAAAACCCGGTCACTGCATAGAGAAGTTAACATTTAGTGGCAGTAAGAGGTGCTTTTTGAACCTATCATCAGCTGTGAATTGTCGCTTGGCTGATATCAAGGTTTGTCATTTGATTAAGCTGTAAAGATTTGCATTGCTCTATAAAATGGGGAACAGATGTTTTTTGGCCAGAAGGTGATGATGACAACTGGTTTCACAACGAAAGCAGGTCATTTGACATCTGATGACTCTAACACCCTAATATCTGAGCTACAGCTGTACTTCTGCTTATTAATCTGAAACCCGACAGAAGACAGTGATGTGACGGTGCAAAGTATCATTTAAAACCAAAGACTTCCAGCATACAGAGCTTCTACGGTTTACTTCAGGCCTCCATAAAAGAGAAAAAGATGGTAGACAAAGAGAAATATGGATAAAAAGCAAAGGAGTAATATGTAGGCCAGAAAAAAAAAGCAGCCCTTGCATTGGCAGTCCGATGCCTACTCAGATTTCACTAGAAATGCACAGTGGTGTTTTATTTAATAGGAATCCGAATGTGCATTGGTCTAAACGGAGCAGTGGTTTTCAGATTTGCTCAGAAGGACGAGAGCTGGACACTGTACAGAAGTTGCAGAACTAAAATATGCAGTTGTGGGTAGTAAAATTGAAGTTTCCAAGAGCCTACATGCTGTGAAGTGTCTGAAGAAGTGGTCGTTTTGACTGCCATGTTCAGGTGGATAGTTTCTGTTAATCTTTACTAAGCGTTCCTGGAGCTGCCTGTCATTTAACCCCTTGTTCACATTTGCATTTCATGTAACTCATCTCATGTACAGAGTGATCTCTTGAAAAAATGCATTCGCACTCACTCTTTTGTTTATCAGAATCAGCCTGCTGTGTAGCAATGGACGCTGAACAGAATCAGGAAGTTCCAGAGGCTGTTGCTGAGACACAGGAAGTGGCGATGAAACAAGAGGAGAAATCGGAGCCTAAGTCCAAAGAGGTGGCACCTTCAGAACCCGCAGAACCTCCAAAAGCAGCCCCTGAACCCGAGAAGACCCCAGAGATGGAGCATTCTGCTGGGGGATTGCCAGAAAAGGAGAAAGCGACGGACTCTAAAGCGCCTCCTGCCAAACCGTCTGAACCCGAGGTGGCGCTGGAAAAATCTCCTGAGGAAACCCCGGCTGCCGAGTCTTCTGAGAAACCCCCTGAGCCAGAACAGCAGAAGAAGTCTGAGGAGCCACAGGTTCAAGTGAATTCTGAGCCTGAGAAGCAGGAGGAAGAAGCTGTGAAAGAGGTGGAGCCTAAGAAAGAGGCCGAGTCCAAACCCACTGCTGTGAATGAAGCCAAGCCCGAAGAATCTGATAAAGGTGAGGAGACCAAGACAGAAGGAGGAGAGGATAAGGTACAACCAGAGGCTGATGGAGTTCAAGCTGAGCCTCCGAAAGAGGCAGAGACCAAGCAGAAAGAGCCAGAGCTGCCTTTGTTCTTTGGCTGGTTCCTGCTTCCAGAGGAAGAGGAGCGAATTAAGTGTGCAACCATGGACTTTCTCAAGACGCTGGACACTTTGGAGGCCTTCAAAGAACACATCAGTGAATGTGAGTGGACTGTGTAAACACATACACTTGTGGTTCTCCTCAGAGTTGGTGTGTTTGTTGTGCTGATTTTGATCTGTTTTTTTCCAGTTACTGGTGAGGTGGAGAAAGAAGTGGATCTTGAGCAGTATTTCCAGAACCCATTGCAACTCCACTGCACTACAAAGTTCTGTGATTATGGAAAAGCAGAGGGGGCTAAAGAGTATGCAGAGCTACAGGTTAGTTTTCCAAACTGGCCATTTTGTTAGATGTGTCATATCATGTAGTGCAAATGTAAGTGCTCTGATGTGTTTTTGGAATAAGATCCCTGCTTGATTATAATATTATTGCAGCCAATAACTAATATGTTGGCAAAATTAACTCAACTCTTAATTAATATTAACAACTTATCTTGTTTTCCAGTATGAAATATAACACATGTAATATTAAAGTAAAAAATCAGTCATCATAACATTGACGGGGAAGCCCCTTTATATTATCAGCTTCC